TCAGTATGTTCATAGGAATTTTGGGGAAATTTTAACACATTGTTGACTGGCAATTTTACGCTGCAGCTATCCCATGCCACCGGTTATTATTTCCTAATTAAATATGAAAGTGAAACAATCTAAATAAACTTCAATATACTTTATTTACATATAATGAATTGAAATGAATCTTGGGACATATCTTTCATATGACTTTGAATACTTTGCTTCTGCAATATTTTCTGTTGTCCTACGTTTCAAAAATTGGAATAGCTACTACAATTGCAAACACGAATTAACACTTTCGCTGCCACAGTGGACCCATGGAACCGGAGTTTCGAAATGACTTGAAAACAATTACAACTCATAAGTCAACTGACGTAGAATAAATGTTCGATAGCGTAAATAACTAGATAACATTATAACGTAAATATCGTGGTATCAAATAATTAATAATTCCTTTTTATCTTTGCTATAAAGGAATGAGTGATACGTAAAAACTGTTCTTCGTCGCAGTCAACGTGTTAACTCATGACCGGTCAACAATGTGTCAAGTACTATTGTTCCCTAAAATCTAAACGAGCAGGAACCGGTTCGAAAGCGATAAGATTTATTGTTTGTTAGGCAAATTATATTCATATACAATGAAAAACAGACTTCATACTTAACAGTACAGCACATCTTCGGGTTATCGTTCGAAGGAGACGACCAAGTTTATCGACATAGCGATTAAAGCCTTGTTTCCCCCTTTCTCGTATACATTTTAAGATCCGTTTATACACAGGACGTAACGAGTTCGTGCCGAACGCAAAACGAGCGGTGTATTATACTCGGTTTCATTTGAAGTACACGCAAGAACATATTTCTCCGTTCAGCCTGTGCTCGGCACGAACTCGTTACGTCTTACGTATAAATGGACCTTTACGCAGTGAATAGCTTACGAAGCTATACATAGACACCTTGGTACGTGTCACGAAATGTTCGATTGCGGAGAATAATAGTCGCAAACGTACCAAATTGATAACAAACGGTAAACGTTTAACTATGGTACAACGTTGATTATTCGAATTAACCCTTTAGGCGTCAAGTAAAAAATTTTATGAAAAATAGATTTATTTTCACAATATACACTAATAGAATATTTACGGAACGCGTCAATTTGACGCATATTGAATTTTATAAACATTAAGTGGTAAACATTTACGTCGGTTTTGATTGATGCAATTAGGCGAATAAGTATCTTAATAGTCTATTTTTGAATTCCTAATTTTAAGGAACAACAGAATCAACAGTGAACGTCCGTAAATCTAATGTTACACTCTTCAGGGCCGAATTCTTTTTAAGAACAAACACAAATGATTCTAGTTTTCGTTTGGTTACACTTTATTTTGTTAAAAATGATACGAATTGAACAATGCGAGGACAAACGGAGACATTTATGAAAAACATACGAAAATAAGTAAGTGTCCGTTCGATGGACATTGATGTTAGACTAAAATCAAATGTACACATATGTGCCATTATCCTTGAAGAGGTTAACTACCGTATCACTGTTAATGAAAATAAATATTTTCTTAAAAAATACTATTCATCTATCAAGAAAATATATGGTAATTAATATATCGATTCCATACTGTTAGTTTCGCGACTTGTTCTCTATTTTACTGATATTGAACCACGTGAGAGACAAATCAGTCCGAATAATCGGTTCGAAAGGAACAGATATGTGATGTCGTAAATCAATTTCGCAAAGTATTTCGTAAAATTCGCTAATAGATATTCTGGAAATCACGGAGACGTCGTTTTTCGAGTCGCTGGTACAATAGGAAATAATTTCCGGCGGAACGAATAATTATTTGTTTCTGAATAGAGCCAAACGACAACAGAAGTTCATGAATTCCCGTTCTTCCGGTGTTTCGCTAATATACCACGGAAATACTACGTATAACGACATTGAAGTTCGACGTACGGCGTGTTTCAGAGTCGTTAATAACGAATGGACTGTGTTCGTTAGGCGTTTCAATTTGAATTCACGTGCGAACGCGCAGCCAGGAATTCAGAAAGTGTTTGTGTACATAGCTACCTTTGCCGGTGAACCGCCTCGCCGTGCCGCGCCGTGTTTCTCGATTAATTAAGCTTATACGCCTCCCTTTCCTTTTTTTTTTGCGACATCTTTACTGAACCCGGTGTTGTACGCATGCCCCGATTAATTAAGGTAAAAGACAGAACAGTGCGGTTACGTATGCGCGAATGCAATTTGCGATATCGTTGTAATTATGGATCCAACGCGGCTGTCACTGCTTCCACCCGTAAGGAACGAAATAATTGCCCGGATAACTCGGACACGAAAGTCAGGCATTTTTATGGAAAGCTTCAACGGGAAACTTTTAATTACTATCAGCCGTATCTTGTTCGTGTGATGCCTTTTGATAGAGGGAACAGCGAATGTTAAAGGACATCTTGCTTCTTTCTTTAATCTAGTTCGTAAAAATTCCAACGTTTCACTGGGAAATGTCAAAGATGAGAGGTTTAATATCGACTGCGAGCAACGGAATCTGTTGCGTACAATTTACTATTAATATTTTTTGCAGTATAATGCCCGATATAAATTTCAATATGATAATAAAAGAAGAACGCGGAGCAATTTCTTTCTATAACGGAGTTTAAACTATAGTAAATGCTCTCTGGTACGGGAGGAACGAACAAATACGTAACGATCTTATGATCAGATCTGTGGAGAAGGAGATCAAACGTCTGTACGACAGACATAAGACAAGGCTAGACAATCATCCAACTGACCTAGCAAATAAGCTATATTCAGAAGATCTTCCTAGAATATTACGCAGAAAACATCCCAGCGATCTTTTCGCCGCAACATAAGGGGCGACTACAATACAGATGCATTTTGTTGAGAAAGCATCTACGTGCTACATCCTTTAATATTATTCAAATAATTTATCAAATGTCCATTCTGAACACACTATTAAGTGCATTGGAGATATTAAAAAAAAGATAATGGACTTTGTGTTCGGTAGAAAGAAAAGGATTTTGTGTTGGTCTTTATAAATATTGGATAAAATAAGGTTTTATTTATATTTTGCAGTAACTAAATATAATTTATTACATATTGTCGAGAATAGTATGATCGATGAGACACTGCTGTATCTTCGACAGTATTTATTAAAAGAACAACAAAATTGGCCATTCGTGCAAAATCGTCAAGCACAATAAAGCATCAGACTGTGATTTTTCAAAATTTATCAGACTGTAATTCATCTCCTATGTATAAAACTTTTTTTTTATATTTCTAATTTACTGTTCCGTACTGTTATTAATACCTATTTATTCTACAACTGTAATATCTGTTATCGACCAAGGTCCGAGGAAAACAGGTTTTATTAATGAAAGGGTATATTATTTCACAGATATACAATGAAACCTAAAAGTTAGTAATTGTATAAATTACTTGTGTTTTGCTTGAATGTATGTATTGCATCATATGTTTGCAAGATAATGTTTTCCTCATTCGTTAATAGGGAAACCAAAGCTCACGTTTCAGTCCCTGCTGCAGCGTAACACATTTAAGCATTTCATAAACATCGAAATAGCAGAATTAATATCAGTTTGCATAATCATTGTACCGTGAACAGAGTTGTAATTCAGTTATATTAAAATAATTACCCCTATAATCATTAAAACCATAATATATAGCATAATAATATAATAATTTTCCAGTGTACATATTCCATTATCCCATATTACCACATTATCCACGCAATAATTACATTCATCCTACACACGACGCAATTCGTATCAAATTCTCCACAAATCCTTCCGACATCAGCTTCAAGACGCGTGGAACGCGGGATAAAGAATTATCTCATCGATCCGCGCCTCCTATATTGCGTTCCGATCGGGGTTCTGAAGTAGGTGGAGGCGGTGTTAGAAGAGAGTCCTATGGAATGAAAGTCCAAGAGGATCGTAGAGATTTCGTTCGAAATACCAAGCGCGGGACCTTCTAATCAGTCGGCCAATAAAAAAGAAGCAGGAACAGGGAGAGATTCGCGACGCGGAGGGGGTGGACTCCATGGAGTCGTGTAATATAACGACGATAATACTTTGCACGCGCCGCGTCGCACAGCGGGGCCGAATGTCCGTTTCCTAGACAGAACCCTTTAAATTAATATTAAACGCACCGATACTTTGTATATATTTATTTCTACTATAAACAGTCAAATAAGTGGTCACAAAATGAGGGTAAACGAATTAGAGGAATTAGAATTTTTCTTAGTAAAAACAGAAAGAAAAGAAAACATAGAAATTGAAAAATTAATTAAGCGGATAATGTAGGAATTGATGTAAAGTTAAATGAACGAAAGAAAACGCAGAATTTTCAAACAAATTTAAAAACGGGTCGTTTGACCTGTCGCGGTACTTTTGATGTTAAGGCGTGATTGGTAGCAAAAAAAGCTTCAGACAAAAGTTGTAAGGCATAGAGCTAAACATATAGTAGTTGTACTTTTTTTACTTTATATGGATATTATGAAGTTTTTTAAATGACAATGGATATTTTACGTTTCGATTCCAATTTTACATAAACAGAGATGTCGAATTTATTTACACAAAATTATATGAAATTAGATCTACATGCTTCGGAGAATGTTTTCCATTGTTAACAATCTATATAAATATATTTAACAATGAATGCAAGGTAAAAATGTAAATACGTGGTAACCTTGGAATATCTGTAGGGCAATCTCCCAGCAAGCTAAACAGTGGTTATTCATTAATTTCTTAAATAAAAATCATTTTGTATGCTTAGCAACAGATTGGTAACCTTCATTTCTCGTTACATGAAGGGACGAATTTTTGGGTTTTGTCTAGAGTCGGCCGCACTGTGCACCGTCGAGAACGGAAGATAAGGGTGTCCCCCACTCTACTTCCCAACCCCGCCAGCGTTAGTTCCTCCTCTGGCAGGTTGGCCGATAGGACTTCAACCCTTATCGTGGTTCCGTACTCACCGATCACGTAGCTATAGCCGTCCAAGGTGAGAACACACTTGCGTGTGTTGGAGGAGCTCGGAATGCCTGGTACAAGTCTTCGAGAAATTCGCTTACCAGGGCTGCAAGGAGTACCGGCGGTACTTACAGCACCTGGGTCCGAGTGGCACTTCTGCACGGGGTCTTTGCTTTGTCTAGACATCATCGTTCTCTTCTGCGCCACTTGTACGCCGCTGCTCCAGCAGAAGCCGGAAGAAAGAAAACCTACTTCCGCACCATTCCCGCGCCAGTCCGTCTACTTAGCCACGCGACGATCTCCGAAAAAACTCTATCGTGCTCGAGCTTTCCTCGGGCGTCGCGGAATCCTGGTTTCGACGCTCATTATTGCCGTTGAATCACGCCCGCCTCAGACACTACCTTCGAAGTCATTCCGCGGAACACTTAACGCGCGGCATTCCCCCACAGTTTCCCTCCCCTCGTCGTCCTAAGGTCCATTTCCTTTTCGCTCTCTCGCCTACTTGCGCCTTCACCCCTTTTCCTTTACGAGCAAACCGCAACGATGGTCTTCAACGAGTCCTCGAAATTATATTCAACTCGATGAACGTGTCACACGGTTTTAGGTGTTGATACCTTCGCTCGTAGCTCTTCGATCCTGGCCTTTTCTAATTCGTTATTCTATGGTGGATTGAAGTAGTGTTTAATCGACGCGGTTGATTAGCAATGATTCGATCGCGTCCATACTGTTTTTGGTAGATTAAATTACAATCTTAAGTTTTCGTGAAGGATCATTCGGCCGTGGACAACGGTAGATCCTACGGATTTCGATCGCGACACGACCGCCACGTTTATGTCGACATGTTCTACGGTGTCGTCCTCTTTGCACAGCGACTATTTGATGACGCCTTTACGCCTGCTCTCGAGCGTCCAGGGTGTACGCCAAGTAATTCATCCGACGTGTTCCGAAAGACTCGAAGGAGCTCTTCCTGGCACGCATCCGCGTTCAAAGTGTGTCCGTTATAATCCGAAAGGAATATAATCGCCTCGAACTGACTAATCCTTCTAGTGTCTCTTGTGAAAACAATCGCGAGAGATTTTTGTTGTAATCGATACCAGATCTGCTCCGCGCTTCGAGCAACTGGTTGAATCTCGACGAAGTTCAGCTTGCTAGGCGAACGCTTCTTAAGCGACTTGTAGGTTTCGTCGACTTCAGTTGCAATCAGTACAATCCTGTGTTCCAAGGGAAACTTGTGTATCTACTGTAATTGCTTGCGATAGCGCTGGTTTTCGGTTAAGGATCTCGAATGAACAGCATCTGTCAGCTCCAATCGGCTTTGAATTCCTTTAAATTACATCGAACCGTGTAGATCGGTTTGTTTCCAAACAGCAGCTCTTCCTTTACTCGTTCTCTGCTCACCGACCGGGTCGATTTGCAATCCAATCAGCACGGGACACGAGCTGATGCAAAGGGAGACTCTTTTATGGCGAGTTTCTTTTGTGCTCGTTCGGCTAATGATCCCTCAAATTCATTGTCAACACGATGTCACAGTTGAACCGCGTTCCTTCGCGTTTCACTCCCCCGATTCGTACTCGACGAAGATTCCGTTGCGTCCCGGAGACCGTTGATCACCGATTCATCGACTTCGTCAGTTCGTCCAGGCGGAGCGTCTCGTCACCGATGGCACGAACTTCTGGTTTAATCACCTTCCGAGGAAACCTTCGGCCCGTCATGCGCGGTTATAAATAACACCGGCGGCACGAATGACGGAAGCAAATAAACCGGGGCTCGTCATTTCTCTTGTTCCCTCGGTTTCTTCGCGCTTACGCGGACCTCGTTCTTTCCCGATAAGGTTTCCGTTGCCGTAAAAATTTCTGCCGCGTGCAGCGACCCCGCTGCCGATTACGCTCTAACGATCCCCGCGAGCGCACGCCGAGAATCACGAGCTCGCCCCGCGCGGCCGATATCTTTCTCGTCACGTATGCGCGTGAAATTACCAGCAAATACGTGCCGTGTAGGTCCCGTGAATATTTTCTACGGTTTCTGATCGCAGCACCACGCAGCAACTATGATGTCGAGAAATGCTCACTACAATGCGAATCGACTCAACGTCGAATCACTGATCGTCATTTTCGACGACGTTTCCCGGAGGTTGTCACGATCTTCGAGAAGTCCGGCTGAATTCGATCGGTGTCGACGCGATTCAATCGGAAAGGGCTCTCCGGCTAGCCTTTCTTCTTCCGAGGGATGCACCACCGTACACTCTAGTGATTCTTCCCGGTGATTGCTCGACGCCAAACGACCGGCGGCGAATTAACACGTGTTTGAAACGGGTATCGGGTCGGCTCGATGTAAACGGTGCGGCCATGGACACGGTCCTCGCTCCCCATTTTCTTTGCTCGGCCGTCTTTGAAGCCGCGGCTGATCGATCGCCGATGGATCCGCGCGGCAGCCGACCACCGAAAAGCACACACGGGAAATTTCGTGCGAACGAGCCACCGGAGGCCGGTCCCTCCGTCTCGTGAACGGTACGAACAAACGAGCAAGTTTCAGTAGGATAATTTCGCGGCTGAATTCCGGACGGGCGGATTTGATTCGATAGTTCAATTACCTTCTACCCTTCTTCTGCAAGGCATTTGCAGTGGTCGTCGCATAGGTGCACGGACACGGGAAAACGTGATGGGGAGCGCCCAGGTGTATTCTACGATCGATTCACGTTACCATAACATTAAATTCAGTTTGCCCGCTCGCGCACCGGCGCGCCGGCACTCTCGCGAAGCCGGCACGCGCGTTGTCCGCCGATCGATCCCCTATTCTTTCCTCGATCATCGGTGATCTCAGATGGACACGGTCGAACCGCTGATATTTCACTGGACGTCGCACAGTTCACGGATTTCTCCTTTCAGTCGGAAGTGTTACGCGGGTCCGGCGACGTTTCATCGATATTTATTAATACCCCGTCTCGGATCGTCGTACTTCCTCTTCATCGACGCTATTTGCGTTTCGATCGAAGGTTCCCTTTCGTTCGTGACACCGTCACCTTTTTCCCGATATCCAATTCAGCCGTTAAACCGAGATGCACCGGCGACGATTCCGCGGGCCGATTGCCGCTAGCTCGTCGACAACCGACAATCTATTCGGCCGATCGATGGGACAACACTGTGCCGAAACGCTTGTCTCGCGGGATTACGAGTATTGGTTTCCATGTCGCTGCGACCTGCCGGGGGACCAACGCGTTCGACGGGAACTTTGACCTCTCGGAGGAATCCTGCATTGCGTTTGGGATTGGGGAGACCACGGCGAACCTCGGCGAACCACGGCCGCCATTGATATGCACCGCGCCAGTGGAAGAACCGCGTGTTTAGTCGGACGTCCCGCTGCGGTTTTGCGAAACTGCCGGCGTTCAGGGGTGGGGGGGCTCAGACAGAGAGAGAAGAAAAGTGAAAGAGAAAGA